GAGAATGTCAAATAATATCCTTTGATCCAAAGATCCTATTAATATGTCAGCACCCGATACTCATCTAGATTATGGATAAGAAAATTGTATGTTTTCTGTTATTTTCATTATATATTTTAGTAAAATCTTTTGCGAGGACATGAAAATACAAGTGTTTTAAGTTGATGCCTCCCAACTAACCTTCAAGTGGTTGTATTTATACGCTGGTTAGCACTACCTGTATTATCATTCTGCATAATAAGTGACCTTATGAATTAACCATTCCGACAGAATTGTCAGCAAAAGATACAGACCAAGTTGCGATTGACTACCTGGAATGTCAAAATAAAGTAAGAGTAATTTAGGTATCTCGGTTGTAAAAGATGATAAAAAATGTATCAGAAAAATTCGAAGTTACATGGGAGTAGCAAAAGATGCCTTTCAGAAACTAAATAAATTAATATGGGATAGAAAATGTCCTTAGAAACAAAGAAAAGGGTGTAGAACTGTTGTGTAATCTCTAATCTGTTATATGGCAGTGAATGTTTGATAATCTGAAACGAAAGAAATGTGGTTCTACCAATGACTGTTAAGAATACTACACATAGAGAATGTGAGAAACGTGAAAGTTTTCAAGGAAGAAGAACATAAAAAAATCGCTTATAAGGGACAACTGATATAGTAAGGATAGAATTTAACGCTCCCATTATCTATTGAAGGTAAATGAAGCAGAATTTAGATGGCAGAACAAGGACTACAAAGTCAAAAAGGGGTTTTAAAACGATAAGAGTTACTTAGAAGGGCAAAAAACAGAGATTTTTGCAGAGCTATGATTGCTCCCGTCCTGAAAGGATAGACATACAAAAGAAAATGGAGGTGCAGTGTTTAGTGTTCAAAGAATAGTTGCAAATTTTGAACACACCTCATATACATTCGAAATATGTAATATCTCTGCAATCGAGAGTTTTATTATAGGATCGTATAAATTAAATAGCTCATTACAATTTTCATAATATAACGTGATTAAATTAAATTAAAATAAATGATTAAAGGAAACTATTCTATAAATAGCATAGAATACACATAGTGAAATTAGAGCATTCGGGGTGAATACGAATGCAAACCTTGCATTATTATTTTTATTATTATTATTACGTTGTAAATTATAATGGAATGTTTTAGTATTGTGCTAACTAAAACATTCTAGTATGTACCGTTTTTTGATGTTTAACAATAACAAACATATAAAAATACAGAAATAGATACTTTATAATACAAAAAATTTATTTACAAATAAATAAGGGAAACTATTCTGTAATTAGCATTTAGTATATATAGATTTATCTCCCTTAACACCCCATCTATACTGAAATGAACAATAATGTCTAACTGAACTTGAGAAACCTAATTTCATGAAAAATTGTTTTAAAAGAATGATTTCATAAATTTCAGCCGTCAGTAGTACAAGGTGCTCGGTAAATGAATACGGAATGTTTCCTTATAAGGAAACAGCTAATATTACCATTACACTGAAGAAACTATATCAAGGTGGGAGTGAAAAGAAACCATACTTTTGTCATATTTTACAAATTGAACTGGTAATTGCAAAATTTTCCAAGTAAGAAAACTTTATGAGACTTGCGCTAAAAATCTCTCTAGGGTGAGCAAAAATAGACAGAAATCGGATCATTATTATTATTGTTTATTATTTACGTATATATCTTGGGACTTGACTGAGTTAAGCTTAGAAAATATCTCTCATGAGACAATAAGCATTTTAAACAGTAATTAAGCGAACACCTCACGCCATACAATTGGATTATTATTATTATTATTATTATTATTTCTAACCTTTTCATACCAGATGTCTGGTGGTTCTTGAAGAAGACTAACTGACAGCAAACCGCCTCTAAATCACAAGTTTCCCTTCTTCCTCATCAATATAATTTTTCAAATTTTTCTTTTGCTTTTTTTGCTTTAAAAGTGTGTAAAATATTAAAGCCGCATTCGCCATCTTCATATTAAATTGTTTTCTCTGTTCCCCACTGAATTCCTGGTGTTCTTTCCAATTTTTCACTATTTTTGTTTTCAAACTCTATGGTCAACTGGTACAGACACATCTACGATCAAGTAATTTTGCTTTTTCATATTTACTACTATCCGATCAGGTGGTCGACATGGACCTTAAAATCCCAGAGTATCTTATTTCATTTGCTTTCTCTAACAGCGACTGGGTTTATTATTATTATTATTATTATTATTATTATTATTATTATTACTACTACTACCATTTCGACTGCAAAACATTATATTCAGTTATATCGTATAATTTTTAAGAGAATAGATTCGAGGTGCAGGCTCAAGTGATAGAAACTGTGAATCAGGAGACAACGATACAATGATATTATCCGTATATTTCGTAGATAAATAAAATATAAAAATAAAATGTATAAAAATGTTTACTATAAAATGGAAGCAGCTTTTGCCGAAATATATAGTCCTAATGTTTTACTAAAATATCGAAATTAATTTGAAATTACGTGTTTAAAATTCATAAGTTTTATTTGTTTTTTTTAATCGAATTCAACTCATGCAAGGAAGTAAAGTAAAAAAAAAGGATTGTAGGGTGTGGAAGAATTAGAAAACAGAAACATTATTAAGGAGCAAGAACAATAAAAGAGTAATCAAAAAGACATTAGATAACAAAAATTTCGGTCGCAAATGTATAATTTGCGGGTATTTCAATGCGTATTCACCAATAATTACCTACGGCCACGTCACATTAAAAACACATGCTCCCGTATGATCACCGAAGTTAAGCAACGTCGTGAGTTGGTCAGTACAGAGATTTTTTTTTTAATCGAGTTCACCCAAACAAGGCATTAAAACCAGTAAGACACAGGGATTTACTGGGTGTGAAATAATTAGAAAAAAGAAAAAATACTAAGCAGGAGGATGATTAGACGAGTATTCAGAAAGACAGTAGACAGCGATTGACATTGCATTTAAATTTTTGAAGATTAAAAGTGACTAGAAAACATGGAACTGGAAGAGAGTTCCACAAGCGAGAAGTGCGAGAAAATAAACTGCTAGCATAGAACTTATGTTTAAATCTAACTAACTCGATTGTAAATTGATGAGCCCTCAACGCCAATCTAGTGCTGCGCTTCAATTCATAAAGTTTATGTGCCACAGCGAAAAACTCATCCGAACAATTACTATGAAAGTATTTATAGAAAATAGACAGGGTGGCAACCTTACGGCACTAGGAAAGAGACTGAAGCCGAGACGCCAGGTCAGGACCAACAATATTGCTGATTCTTCTTTGCATATTTTTCAAGGATCACTAAGTATGCCGAAGGAGCACCGGACCATAAGTAGTAGCAATATTCTAAGCATGAACAAAAAGCAGACTTATAGATATGTAAGATATATTCTGGACAGAAAACCTGTCTAGCACGACACAGTAAACCAAATTTCTTAGCACCTGACCTAGCAATGAAGTTAATATAGACATTCCACTTCATGTTAGCCGAGAACGTTAGACAGAGAAGGCGCAACAAGTAACTCCTAGAGGTTAGCATCAGTCATGCTGATGAAAAGCAGAAAGGACTCTCTCAGATGATTAATAGAGAACAGTTTTGTTTTGGGGGTGTTAAAATTGACAAGTCATTCTTTGCCCCTGTTAACAACAGAACAGACTTTTGATCATTTTTTTGAGATCAGTCACCAATTTGACGTCAACAAACTGATCAGACTTACTATCGAGGTAAGAGTAAGTGCTTGTGTCATTAGTATGGATACCAAGTTTGGGAGTTGATGTCACCGGGAATGTCGTTAATGGAAATTAATAACAGATTGGGACCAAGGATTGGACTTAGTTTGTAATTTCAGGAGTAAGGAGTGTTACACAGAATTAAATTATCGCTTCCTTTCTTTTTTCATTGTGAAATATATGATTCTTTAATAGAATTTTAACATTATGTGTGTGTGTGTGTGTGTGTGCATATCTGTGTGTGTGCAGAGAGAGAAAGTTATCCTAAAACCTAACAAGTTATATACGACATGAAAACTGCATTTTTCAGCAACATGAACATTTCAATACGTTTCCAATGAATATGTCACTTACAGAATGACGTCATTAGCAAACTGCGGGAAAAAAAGTAAATACCCCAACTTTTCAAAACCACAATTGATAGATTAAAAACAAATTTGAGAGAGAGAGAGAGAGAGAGGGGGGGTGGAGAGAGAGAAAGAGAAAGAGAGAGAAAGAGAGATCGCCCATTACCAAAATTCTCTTTCAAGCATTTTGAAAGTTTCATACCTCTTTCAAAGGAGAATTCATTTTCATTTTTTTTTAGCAATAGCAGGGATTGTTTACTTGAATCAATCGTGAACGTTATCGTCGTTTGTTATTTATTGAGAGAATTGAAGACGTCTACGTATAGAATAGCCGTTCCTTATTACCTGCTTTTATAAAACTTAATTTTATGTGGCAATATTAATGATTGTAATATTGCATTCTTCTGAACCGCTTCACATCTGATGATGACATTTTATTTACAATTTTGTTCAGTTCTTTCCATTTACGCTTTTCTTTGCTTTTCAAATACGTCCAAATAAAGTTAGCGGTTAAAGTTTCAAATCTGAGAAACGTATTTTCTGGATAAATTAATAGAACACAAGTCTTTGCATTCAAAAGTATACCGCCCTCGTAACTTATTAAGAGTATGGTGAAGAGTATCAAGGAAGCGTTGTTTCCTTCTAGTAAAGGAGTGGGAAGTTTAGAGTACTAATCTGTTTCTATTTATTCAAATACGCCATCAAATGTAGGATGTTTGAGATTTGATGGCCTGATATATTTCTAAAATTCCTTATCTTCTATTTATTTTTCTTTTTGATTACATATAATGCTTTGTAAAATGGTTTTCCTTGTCTCATTGGCAAAGAAGAGGAAGTATAAAAGTCAAGTGGTAATCGGATGAGATTGAGTAGGTCATAGGAAAGACGAATAAAATGCC